CCCCAAAACCCCAAAACCCCAAAACCCCAAGAGAAATTATAAGTCTTGAAAAGACAAGTAGGAATAGTTGAATTTAAGATTAATGATAATTATAGAGTCCTAAGTCCCTCAAAACTATTAAATTCAAGTGAAATATTAAAGATATTCTATTAAAAGATAGAAGTTAAGTATCAACCATTAATAAAGAAGCAGGAGATGAAAGGGTATCCCTCGTTACACAAGAGAACAAGTCGAGATGAAGATTCAATGGTAAGAAATCAGGAAAATTAAGAAGAAGAGCCCCCAATAAGCAGAAGATAGCGAATGACTTAAAAATCTAGGTCATCAGAATATGAGCACGAGTATATTGAACTAGACAGCACTAACTCAGAGGCTACGGCTTCTATAGGTGGTGAAAACATAGAGAATCAGCTGGAGTGTTCAGAAAATTTATCTGCAGAAAAAACTCTGCAAAACTTCAAGTTTGATAGAAGAATGATCCCAAGGAGAATTGCACTTGCGGAACAAGAATAAATACAGCAGAGTCATTAAATTTAAGCAGAATAAGAGATCTCTCGCTCCTCATAGTAGCAATAGTATTACTTATAATATTAATAATTATATAGAAGATTGTTTGAAATTTATCAATAAAATCTCAAGGCTATTGATGATGATTAATAATATCAATATGAAGATAGATTTACATGCCAAGAAACTTTAGCAAATATTTATTCCTCGCATGAACTCTAATCTTTAATTGATCAAGATAAGAAAGTAGAATATCTGTAGGTTTCAAATCAGTGTTAATTTTTGTTCAAACTTTCGGGTCTAAGACCTGAAGGTACTGATATAAGACTTCCTTAGGAATATCCAAGAAGAAAAGACACTCTATAAGCAGATGAGACTCTAAGTCCATCCCTTAATAACATCTACTGTACTTCTAATTCAAATCTAAGAGATTAAATGATGAGACAAGATTCCTTATTTGACTCTCCTAATGAAAAAAATGAACAATTGCCTGGGTCTACTTTAAAATAATACGAGAATCTCAATAAAATACTGATAAATAATCTTTTGTTTAGCTAAAAATTAACATAGACATACCTAGAAATCACCTCTTTTTAACTTATTTAAAATGGAAAGGCTTTCCTCAACTTAAAAGAGAGAGTTGCGATTTCAGATTGGATGGCTTTATTTTGCTCATAAAAAGAAATCCACAGATAGACCTATTATCTGGCTTTAAGTTATTTCGATGTGATTGTAAACAATTTATGCTAGTAAATTTTGAGAAATCAGTTTAATTCTTAAAAAGACTAGACGCTTTTGGAAGGCCTGGCAATAGTTAGTTTATTCTTAGCTTGCAAACTAGAAGAAGTCAAGCCCCCCAGTTTGATGCAGATGCATTAATGCATACGCTCAAATACTGTACAATAATTAATTGAAATTGAAAGAGAGACATTGAAGATACTTAATTTTAAGCTAGTAAACTTCACTATTTATGACTACTTGATTGCTTACCTAAAAATATGGAAGGATATAAACTTAACGAAAATAATGGATTTGGAGTTAGAATGTCAAGAAAACATTGATGATTTGTCATTTGAAGATAAAATATTTACATTCGTTGATTTACTTCTACTAGATATCCAATCCAGCACTTTTTCTGCTGCACTTTTGGGACTTGCGGTAGTTTACCTTGGAAAGCAGATAAGCGGAGGACTCTCACTCTCTTGTGACGTAAATGAGAAAAAGACTTTGGAACAATTAAGTTTTAATACTCTATATACAAATGGAGATAATCAAATCAACGAGATATTTGAACTTGTTATTTAACAAGCTTTCGGAGATTTAAGTGTTATCCAACACTTGTAATAGCCATTCTAGTTTTTAATAAAGTTTGCGCATATCCTCGACAGAATAATTCATTCTTAAGATGAATCCTTATTTGTACCTTGCGAATCCTAAGTTAAAACTATGGCATATTCTAAGAATTGGAGACCAGAGATTACAAATGTAATTCTAGATAGTTTGAACAAAAGTCTTAATCAAGCAAATCATTCTGTTTGATTAGACTTTAACCTAAAAGCTTATATGAGCACTCTCTCATATAGGTTAAAGAGAAAATTTAAAGTCATTAATTTATTTATCATTTCTTCATTATGATATCATTATTTGATAGAAGGGGTTTTGGGGTTTTGGGGTTTTGGGG